CCCCCTACCCCCCCCCCCCCCCGCCCTTCTCTCTCTCGTATCTATGTAACTTCTTTTGTGGTGCATTCAATTATAGAATAATGAAAAATTATCAGTTAGTCTTAAGCTTAACTTCATTTTCTCTTTCTGTTACCTCATAATCAAATTGTGGGCACGAGGAGAAATGTATCTCCATATTTGCATGTTTGAAATGGATTCTCTAAAACAAATTAGATGTGAATGTATTGGATTTGTCTTTATCCTTGAAGGAAGGTATCTTAATATACACTTACCGATCGAAAAAGATATCAAAGAATACTCTATGGCTGGACATGTATATACTTTTACCGGCATCTTATATTAGGCTGATTAAGGACATGTATGATGGAGCTAAAACTTGGGTTAGGACAGTGGGGGCGACTCGGAGCATTTTCCATTTGTTATGGGGTTACACCAAGGATCTGCGCTCAGCCCGTTCTTATTTGCTATGGTGATGGACGCACTGACACACCATATTCAAGGGGAGGTGCCATGGTGTATGTTATCCACTGACGATATAGTTCTTATTAATGAGACGCGAGGCGGCGTTAACGAGAGATTGGAGGTTTGGAGACAGACCCTTGATTCTAAAGGTTTCAAGTTGAGCAGGACTACGACAAATACAGGGGTGTGCATTCGAATCGGTTTATCGATAAATCGAATCGATTATTTGTTATCGGTTTATCGATATCGGTTTATCGATTTCGATTTCGAAATTTTCCTTATCGAGTTATCGATTTCGATTTCGATTTTGTCCTCTTCGGTTATCGGTTTATCGATAAACCGATAAGATATACTAAAAAGACAAAAATACCCTTATTCTATAATACCCTTTCCTTTACCCTAAGTCCCTAACCCTATTATTTCCTCTACCCATTCTTCAGGAAGCAAGGAGAGAACACCATTTCTTAGGGGATCAAAATGACGAAAGTGTTGAGGCTGTTGAGAATCCTAGATCAATTGCAATTAAGGCTGTTCTATTGTTGTTGCTCGGCACTGTCATTGCTGCCGTGTTTGCTGATCCCCTTGTGGATGCTGTCACTAATTTCTCCAGTGCCACAAGCATTCCTTCTTTCTTCATCTCATTCATGTGCTTCCATTTGCAACCAACTCCAGTGAGGCAGTGTCAGCTATTATCTTTGCTAGCTGGAAAAAGTTGAGATCTGCATCATTAACATTTTCGGAGGTTTGTTTTCCTGATGCAGCTTCTATCATCTCTGCTTTATAGTAGATGTGCTTTCGCTACCCATTATTTGCATCAGTGAACCTGAAAGATAATTAATGAACATTAAGGGGTCGTTTAGTTGCAAGGATTAGGGATAATAATCCCGGGGTGAAATGTAGGATTGTTTTATCCGCCTTTGATTGAATTTTTTGTTCTGGTATAAGCAATCTGCAATTATTTATACCACAATTGTGGTTTGTTTTTATACCCTTATTGTATAATATCCTTTTCTTATTGGTGTAATCGATAACCGAATCGATAAGCCCCAAAAATTGATAAATCGAAATCGAAAAAATCGAAATCTTATTGAAACGATAATGATAAGCATATGTACAAATCGATAATCGATAAGTAATTATCGATAAGGGTCAAAATCGAATCGATAAATCGAATGCACACCCCTAACAAAATACGTGGAGTGAAAGTTCAGCGGCGTGTCGGGAGAAGCGGACATGGACGTGAGGCTTGCCTAACAAGTCATCCCCTAGAAAGGGAGCTTCAAGTACCTGGGGTCGGTTATCCAGGGGGATGGGGAGATTGACAAGGATGTCACGCATTGTATAGGGGTGGGGTGGATGAAATGGTGGCTAGTGTCTGGCGTCTTGTGTGACAGGAAGGTGCCTCCAAAACTTAATGGTAAGCTCTATAGAGCGGTGGTTAGACCGGCCATGTTGTATGGTGCAAAGTGTTGCAGTCAAGAATTCTCATATCCAGAAGATGAAAGTTGCAGAAATGAGGATGTTGAGATGGATGTGCGGGTACACTAGGCTGGATAAGATTAGGAATGAAGATATCCGGGTGAAGGTGGGCGTGGCTCCCATGGAAGACAAGATGCGGGAAGCTAGCTTAGATTGTTCAGGCACGTGCGGAGGAGAAGTGGATGCCCCGGTAAGGAGGCGTGAACGACTGGCCTTGACGGGTATGAGAAAAGGTAGAGGGCGACCTAAGAAGTATTGGGGAGAGGTGATCAGGCAGGACATGGTGCGGCTTTAGATTTCTGAGGATATGACCCTTGATAGGAAGTTGTGGAGGTCGAGCATTAGGGTTGTATGTTAGGTGGTAGGAGGCTAGTCTGATAATGTTTTGTCTTAGGTTGCTAGTGATTCCATTTGTGTCCATATTACTTCATTAGGGTTGCAGGTTAGGTTGTAGGAGGCTAGTCTGATAGTGTTTTGTCTTAGGCTGCTAGTGGTTCTTGTTGTGTCCATATTACTCCATTACGTCTGTAGTACTGTGCCATTGTTACTGCTTATTGTTATTGCTTTTCTTTCTATTTTCTGGTTATTACGTTGCTGGTGTTATCTTTCTGGCTTCCCTTGCTGTTACTCTCCACTGTCTCTTTTCATCTTCTTGAGCCAAGGGTCTATTCTCCGGAATAGGGGTAAGGTCTGCGTACACACTACCCTCCCCAGACCCCACTTGTGGGATTTCACTGGGTTGTTATTGTTGTACTCTATGGCTGGATCTTCCATTTGTTTCCATTTATTGGTTGAACATGAAATTTTCTCCTTTGTTCGTCTATCTTCGGATCCATCTTCCCCACTTGTGGGATTATACTGGGTTGTTGTTGTTGTTGTTGTTCGTCTACAAAAAAGTTCTCATGTTACTTCAATAGTTAACATCTCGGAAATAGGTAGTGTCCTGCCTTATCCTAATGGTAAATGGCTTAAATTTTGGTCATTTACTTGGAAAGAAATTATTCTTGTAATCTTTCAGACATTTTTTCCCGAATGGAAAAGTTTGGTTCAAAACTATCAAAATGAGGTCAATTCGCGAAATCCCGGTTCATTACTACGAGTGTTAGAACGTGTTAGAATGAAGAGTGAACTCTACTGGTGGCGAACGAAATGTCCTAGTGACATTTTCATAGAATGGGATGTGCATTCCTTAGTCTTGGCAAGAAGTTTAAGATCTTATATCAAATGAAGAAGTTTAGATATGCTGTTCTGGTTCGAGCAATGCTTTAGGTGTGTCGAACACGCCGAAGGGACATCCTTCAGTGTGTGGATGTTAAGCTAAACTTGGGTCCGGTGACTGATATAGTTGTAGTGGAAAGGCATGTGTATTTATTGGCATATCGTTCTACTTATACTATGTCTTCACATTGATTTGGATCATGAAATGACTTTTAATAGCAAAATATTAGCTTGATCTGTGTTAAAGAAATAGACCTTGGGTCTAACTCAACCCCAAAAGCTAGCTCATGAGGGGAGGATTGCCCAATCCTATATAAGGAGACCACCAGCTCAATCCCTAACCATTGCGGGCCTCTAACTCACTCTAATGTCCCCTTGCACGCCCACACCAGCAACTGGAGCGTGGACAATATAACATGGACTGACCTGGCTCTGATACCATAAAATGTACCGTGGGCTTAACTCAACCCCAAAAGCTAGCTCGTGAGGGAGGATTGCCCAAGTTCATGTAAGGAGATCACCAGTCCAATCCCTAACCAATATGGGCCTCTAACCCACTCTAACATCCCCTCACATGCCCAGACCACCAATTGGAGCGTGGACAATATAACATGAGGGCCCAAACGGGGACTTACCTGCCTCTGATACCATGTTAAAGAAATGTACCTTGGGCCTAACTCAACCCAAACGCTAGCTCATGAGGGGAGAATTGCCAAGTACATAGAAGGAGACACTAGTCCAATCCCTAACCAATGTGGGCCTCTAACCCACTCTAACAATCTTAAACACGAGAAATGGACTACTTCTGCGAATATCCTGCTATTGACTTTAGACTTTGATAATAAAATTATGGATGTGACAGAAATTAATTGTGATAAAACATATTTCTGCACAAAGCTCTATCCTTTAGAAATAAAATACTAAACTTTAGAATCTTGAAAACAAAATGTGGATTTTAGAGAAGGCAGATAAGGTGCAATATTTAATTGTTAAAAAGTAAACTTCCTTGTTCTTTGAGGAAACAACCAAGAGACTATGGTTATCACAGGAGAAGAAAACTTAACAGAGAAAAATAACTGCTAGAGAATTCTTCTAGAATTTTTTCTTTACGGCAGCTGATGAGGGCATTTTTGGCTGCTGATTCTTAGGTTAAAGTGGAAAAGATTAGTAGATTAAAGATACAATATGGCTGTCATAGAGATGAAGCGTGAGCCTTTTAGAAGAATTCCTATTTCATAGGGAGTAAGTTCAATTAACTGCTAAATCACTCTTAGCAGAGCGATTATTTGGTCTGAAAGCTCAAGAGCTAGGAGAAAGAAAAGAAACTGCACGATGTCTTCAAAGATTACTTGAGTTTGTGCAATTATCAACAGATTCAGTTTCAAACTTATTGTTTATTATCGGTTAGTACTTTTTTTTTTGAGACTGGTAAAAATATTATTGGTTAGTACTTAGATGGACTTCATATTCCCCTCTGCCAATCAAAGAGTAGGAGCTCTCATCATTTTATCATAATCATGAAATTTGAAATAAAACCGCAGTGATCTCCGGGTATTTGAGATTGTTGTACCAAAGGAGGACCAAGAGTGCACAAGTATTTTCTCTGCCTAGTGATTTGATAAAAAAGATTTGCCTATCATTCACCATAAGTCCATAAGTAGCAGCTGAAGTACTGATGGCTACCTTTGTCTTTGCCATACGATATGCACTGTCGATGTCATGCATCTTACCAAAATAACTGGTCTTTTCTTATTGTTTTGTTCTTTCACTATTGAGAATGGAGAAAAACATTGCGAACTACTGTCCACTTCATGTGATTATGGAATTAATGCAACTTTACTGCCATCCTTATTCATCTTGTTCTTGTTTGAATGCTCTTAGTTTCCACATGCAGCCTAAGTGAATTTATTTTTGATATACAGGAGCCACCTGTTTCCCCAGTTGAGTCAATTGAGAATGCAGGCACCACGGAAAGCTTGAATGTGTCAAAAATCCAAGAAGTTCCTCCTATTATCAGCTCTCCCAGGGATCCTGAGTCTGTTCTTAAGCCACCTAATACGAAGGTGGCAAATGAAGAATCAGAGAGTTCGAGAAATGGATCAGTGCCTAAAGTGACAAGTTTGAAAGACGACCATGAGATGGGATTACCAACTGTTGAACCAAGACCAACTGAAGATGTTGATTTGATTCATAAGCATCTCCCTGAAGAGGATGCTGAAAGACCCCTTGCAAGAGACTCCAAAGGCAAGGGAGCTTCTTCACATTCACAGAGTGTGGGGACAGACTCAGCTACGAAACAAGTCGTGAAAAACCATACAGATAAACCAAACACGAGCTTTCAACGAGAATCAGAAACTGAACCAAGTAAAGCCAGCTCATCCAAGAATTCTGAATTAAGTCTTGAAGAATTTGTTGTATCTGAAATAAGTGAAGCTGATGTTGGAAAAGTAGATCATAAAGTTGTAAAACAAGACGATAAGGCAACAACCACTGGAAAGTCAGATCATGTAGTTGAGTTGCCTCAAGAGACAGGTCTGGTTAAAGGTGATGTTAAAGGCAAGAAAGAGAACCCCACAAGTGAGGCTCAAGTTCAAGTTCAAGCGACTCCGAAAGAGAATGAGGATAGCTAGTATATTGGGAGAGAGAGAGAGAGAGAGAGAGGAATCCTTTGGGTATTTTCTTTGAAACTTCTTTTTATTTGTTAGTAAATGAATGATTAGATGTTCAAGTTGGTGTTTAGGTTAGGACTGCAATATTCTTTTTTCTTTATTGGTTGTGCATTGGTGATGAACTGCTTCTCCTTCAAGAATAAGTTTCTAATTGATTTCTTGAAGTATTTTTCTTAGCAGTTCTGGAGATTATATATAATTAGTGGGAGAAAAAGGGGTTATTCCTTGTTACAGATAAACAATGTCTTTTTTGGCATGTAATAGTTATTTTCTGTGGAAAATAATAGTGAGACCAAGTTCCTTTCTTTCTTCTTTTGTTCTACCCTCCCCTCTTCTTTTCCTCCCTTTTTAAGCTTACTTGTTTTAGGTATGAATGCATGTTAAATTTACAGTCATGGCCATTTGGCATTGCCTCCGCAAGAATCACCTATAGTTCCAATGACAGACAGTCACCAAATAGTTATTGGCACCAAAATTGCCATCACCGCTGCGTCCACTTACTATAACTTAGGGCCCTCAAGGGGATTTTTTGGGTACCCTACCATTATCACTACTGGTCCTAGGGGGTGGGTACTTAAGGGGACCGGTAAGGTACTTAGGGGTATTTTTAAATTAAAATATCAGTTTTTATTTATTTATTTAAATACACACAAACTTAGGGGTGAAAAACATAAATTATGGGGTAGAGGGGGTGTTAGGGAGGCAAAAAATAACAGTTGGCTAACGATAAATAAATAAATTTAATAAAGAAATAAAAAAGTACCTTAAGAGAACCAATCAGACCGGTTCTAAGGGTACTTATTTTGGTACCCTCCCACTCCCTGTTGCCTTTGCCTAAATCCCGTATCCCTAACCCAATCGGATACCAGTACACACCAGACCGATTTCGGGTAATTCTCTCACAGCCCTACTATAACTATTGCCACCCCACCAAAACCAAAACCAAAACCAAAACCAACAGCTGCATAATTGTTCCCACCAATTACTATGGCAAAAAATATAGCCTCTTGCCCTGTCACTTAATAATTTGCATCAAGGCTAGCTCTAGTCTCTAGATAGAAATAGCTGTCATATGCTGAACCAGCAAACACAGACACATGCATCCAGGTCGCACGCATGCACACAACTATCTATACCATATTTAAATGCATTTATCTCTATATATCTGTGTTCTCTGAATTTATAGCATTACTCTTTGTACAATAATAGTACTAGATCACTATACTCATCATGTGAACCCGAACACAGCGCAAACACGCACATGCATGCCCCTGCCCCTGATTTATACAAAGCTAAGGTTGTGGACAACATACATACACTATGTTATAAGTTGGGATTAATCATAAAGAATACCACTATCTCAGTTGTTCCAATTTACTACTACTATATGATATTCTTCTTATTTTGCAATATCTCGATCATTTGGGTAATATTTTATTTATACACAATTCTTACAACTTTCAAGATTTCAAATTCATTTACCTAAATCTTAAATGATGTTTTTGTTGTCGGACTGATTTTCTAATTATAACGTTAATCTTTCGTTTAAGTAGTTATTACATAAGTTAGTAAGTTTTATTTTATATTAAATTAAGTACCATAGCATAAAATGGACCAAATTGACAAAAATAATATTTATTCTACTAAAGGTGGTCCTGAGATAGAAGCGAAAGCGACAATCCGTGTAAAAACCGCGTTTTAACTATTAGAATAGAGAGAAAAATGAATAGAACCCCACCATTTTCTTTTACCACTCCCTACTTTGCTTTTATAACATAAAATATTGGAAGTACAAAAGTAAGTATGTTAACAACTGCAAATATTGGTTGGCAAAAGAGAAAGTATCTGTCTCTTTTGTTTTTCACTATTACCCCTTGGATATTTTTGAAACTTTTCAAGATGTGCACCTTTAGAATCAAATTCAGAATATGTAAACGCATTTGTAGAATGAGACACTGTAAGCAAAATCATAAGGCAAGAATAGGCTGAAGCCGTTAATATAATAGGCCATTAATCACATATGGCGCTGAATCCCACTGAAAAGTTCCATACTTGCATCTGTTGAATGCAATTTAATAAGTTCAATAATACTTGGAGCGTAAGTTTGATGACATTACTCATGAAGCGGATATAGATGTGAAACTTGATTCACAAGTCATCTCCAAACGAGAGAGTTTCAAGTATTTTGGGTCAGTAATCCAAGGAAATGGCGAAATTGACGAGGATGTAGCACATCGTATTGGAGGGGCTGCGTGAAATGGAGTCTCGCATCCAGTGTTCTATGTGACAAAAACATGTCACCAAAACTTAAAGATAAGTTCTATAGAGCGGTAGTTAGACCAATTATATTGTATGGAGGGGGGGAGGGCGGTGGGGGGAGGGGATGTTGGCTAGTCAAGAACTCACGTGTCCAGGAGATGAAGATAGCATAAATGAAAATGTTGAGATAGATGTGCGGGCATACCAGGTTAGATAAAATTAGGAATGAAGATATTCGTGACAAGGTAGGTGTGGCTCCCCGTGAAGGATAAGTTGCGGGAAGCGAGGCTTAGATGGTTCGGACATGTGACGAGGAGAGGCAAGATCCCTTAATAAGGAAGTGTGAGAAGTTGGCCTTGGTGGGTTTGATGAGAGGTAGATGTAGGCCAAAAAAGTATTAGGGAGAGGTGATTAGGCTGGACATGGCGCAACTTCAGCTTGCCTAGTATATGGCCTTTGATAGGAGGGTGTGGAGGTCGAGTACTACGGTAGAGGGTTAATAGGTAGTAGTGTGTTTTTCTTGTCCATACTAGTAGTGTTAATATTTTTTTGGGGTAAATAAGCTTTCTATTTATCTGAATAATCAGTACATGTATGTCATCATCCTAAAGTTGGACATGCAGCTCCAACTTTACCGTGCATCTATAGCCTCTTCTACTAATTCTAACATTCAAAAATCTTAACTACTTAGTATCATGTATCTTATTGCACCTGGTTAGACCTTCTCCTTGTTGCTTCATGGATAGAAGTTTAGGCTGGCCATCTGCTTTGCTAGTCTTGGTACTTTGCTTCCTCTGCAGTGTATATCTTGTATAATCATCTTTAAAATCACATCCTCTGATCTACGTTTGTTCTGGAACAATTTTCGATTCCTTTCCTGCCAGATATAGTAAATGCTCCCGGCTAAAGTCATTCAATATATTTCAGCTTTTCCATATTTCCCTCGTGCCTTATTGATTGATCATGTTATCTCCTCAGACCATCCCATTACAGCTCTGCTGACACCCTGCCATGTGAGTTGTTGCCAGATTCTAGCCGCTATATTACATTAAAAAAATAAGTGTTTTTGAGTGGTGGTTTCCTGCTCTAGGCATATCCGGCTACTCCGCATCCCCCCATTTGATGAGCCTATCTCTGGTATACCCTATTTTGTACAGCCAGATAGAAGATGAAGGACCACCTTGGACTGCTTTGATTATTACATATCAGCCTCCTCCAATGAGCTCTAGGATAATCACCCCGCATGTTGTTATACATTTGCCTTATGGAGAAATTGACCCTGCTCATAATCTCCTTTACTGTTAGCCCAACCTCCTCAATATATTTCCCTGCATTGAAGATCTTTTGCACAACCCAGGATGCCTGCTTTGGTTTAACTTCATTTTTCATATTCCCCTTTATATAGTATGTGCGGGCCCATTTGATCCACAATCTATCTTTTTCTACCCCAAACTGCAGTAGTGTTTTAGGATAGATGCTTTGTTCCATAAGTCAATGTTTGTTATCTTCAATCCATCGGCAACCTTAGGCAATCATAACTTTTCCCAGGCAATGAGAGCTTTTTTGGAATATTCTGCAGCTCCTGTCCAGAGGTAGCTTCTGCATAGTGCTTCAATCACCTGAATGATCTTTTTAGGAAATATGAATATTTGAGACCAGAAATTTGTATAGCTGTAAGTACACCCTTAATCAGCTGCAACCTGCCTGCATAAGACAACAGATTTGCTGTCTAGGTAATGATCCTTCCTGTCATCTTGTCTAATAGTGGTTGACGTTGCCCTATTGATAGCCTCTTAGAGCTCAGAGGTACACCTAAGTATCTAGTAGTGTTAATGTTAATATGTTCTTTCTTATTTTTTAGATTTCCATCACTGCCTGTTGTTTCTTCCAATTCGATTTTCTTGTTATCTTGCTGGTGTTATGGTGCTACTGTTTTTTTTATCCTTTTTTGAGCCGGGAGTCTATTGGATCTACCTTCTTAAGGTAGGGGTAAGGTATGTGTACTGGGATTAAGCCACGTAGATGTTTGACCAAAAGATATTAAAACCTTTTTGATTAAATCAATTAATGATGATGAAGGAGTAACTCTTAGTCAAGCATAATCAACTTCAGATCTAAGAATGTATAGCAATACAATGAATGAAAAGTAAGAAAAATCAATATTTATTGATGCTATTTATCTCATCTTTGATGAGATAGAGAGAAAAATCAGTTTACATCCTTCAGAGGAGGAAATTGCAAGAGAAAGAGTAGAGAGGAAAAGTTCAGCCCCCCTTCTATATATAGTTCTCGGAGCTTTACTGTGTTCTTTGACCAACGTGTTCTTCATGTGACGGTCTTTTCGTCGTTATTCGAGTACTGTTTTTGCTTGACGTACACTGTCGTTGATTGGACTGAGGTTTGTCGTGGTGCTTCTCACCATTTCACCACTTAGGCGAGGTCCCAGCTTAGCCGACCACTGTGGTCAGATTTTGACCCATACACTTAGTCCCTCCGTCTGTCGAGGTCATCCCTTGGTGGGCTTGGCGGACGGACTTTGTAGATTCGAAGGCTAGGAGAAATCTGACTGTTCATGCCTTGAACGAGGTTTTTAGATCGAGGCGACGGCGGAACGCTTCAACGATGCCTTTGTTTCGTCGCATCCGTTCGGAGTCGAAATGTTGCATTGATTTGAAACGTCGCTTATGGTTACTGCCATTATGACACACGTTTCCTAGGGATTGAACCGTATGAGGCCTTATCATTGCTAATTGGCAACTCTTGGGTTTCCCGCTTGGGGCATTTAGATCCCTATAAATAGGGGGAAAACACCAATCCACCGGCACACTTTCTTGGTTTATCAAAAGAATTTTGCGAATTTTCTCCTTCCCCGATACTTTAGATTTTCGATTCTCTCTTGTTGGTCAGAAATGGCATCTTTGTCGTCCTTCTTACTTCCTTTGTTCATTCATTCTATTCAATTGAGATAAATGGCTGGTTCTTCTTCCCGCGCTGACGATCTTGCCGCAGTTCCGGCGCCGGAAAATGACGTTCTTGTTCCCGGAGGAGTAGAA